GCATATATAAAAATAACGAACAATAAAGCAGTTGTGTAAATTTTTATATTTGAAATAATTATAAATTATCAAAATTGTAATATAAATTAAAGGCTTCATAGAAGCGTAAATAATTAGCAGATAGTTTGTTTTAAATAAAATCAGTAAGTGAGAAAGTTTTATGATGCTTGAAACAGTTATAGTTAAATGCAAGCAATAAGTAAATGAGAGAATTAGTACAAACAGCATGAAAATAGCACTAATTTGTTTATAAATTGCTCATGATAGTAATTAAAATTTGCGCAGAAGTTATTGAGTAAATAACTCTTCACATTTCTTTTTCTGGTTTAGTGCGACAAATTGAGTTAATTTGTCACGAAAATGCCATCGCTATTTGCGAGGGTGACATATTTGTTGCTTTGGGTATTTTTCTCATTGAATATGTTTATTTACTTATTTATTCATTCATTCATTTAAAGAATTTGTAAAGCATTATTTATATAATACAATATTTTATGCATAAAATATACTTAAATAAGCGTATTCTTTACAAAAATTTATTTATTTTCATATATTTATACAAATTTAAATTTATGCAAATTAAATTTACATGTATAAAATGGTGAAATTTGAAGTATAAAGAGAGAGAAGAAAGATGCAAAAATAATAATGACAGTTATACACAGCAGTAGTAGCAGCAAGAATAGTAGGAAGAGCAATTATAACTTCACAAATATTATCAAATTATAGGTATAGAAAGGATAAGAAAGGAAAGGTCACAAATTTAAATAAAATCCAAGTGAATAATAGATCGATAATTTTGAAAGCGAATAATTTGAATACATTTGCTAAATACTACAAAGCAATGATATATTCTTTTACACTGCATAAGAACGGATTTAAAAAATTAATATGCAAATGAGTGAATTCTGGTAACTAACAAAGGGAATATAAGCAGGAGTACACAATATAAAGTAAGCCATTTCTGTAATTACTTGCAGTTACTTATTTTGATCAAGTTTTTCATTTCTCCATAAATCGATAAAATGAAATCAGTGATCTAATACAAATGACATAATAAAAAAAGTATATGAATTCGTACAAAACAGTCAAACAGTACATGTAAAATGCTAGAAAGAGCAAACAATATGATTACTTCGGTCTTTGGTATATTTTCGTGAAAAATCTCGATAGATATTTAAAAGCACTTGTGTGTATTGAAGTCTTGACTTTCTAAATGTTTATCGAGATCTGTATTCTTTAAATATCTTTAGCTATAACATTTTAATACGCAGATAAATTTGATTTATGTCATGAAGTTATAGTACAAGAAATACACACACGATCGGTTTTGGGGTTTTTTTTTCAGAAATCAAGTAAAGAGTAATACGTGTATTGAAAGACAAAGAAGTAATGAGATTTTAAAATGTTTTATTGAAAAATAAAAAATTTGATAGACTTTGAATTATTTTTTGATTGTAAACTAATGACTAATTTTTTTTGTTTTTTTTTTTTGCATATTGAAATTTGAGCAAGTTGTGTGCATTTATTCAATTCCAGTATTTATTCACGTTATTTTGATACATTCTACTCTGCGACTACATTCATACTTTTCTGCTCTTCAAGCTTGTGACGACATAAAATGGAAATGACTGAATACAAAAAAACGGGTTTTTAAATTTTTGTATTACACTTGAACTTGAATTTGAACTTGAACTTGAACTTGAACTTATGCTAATTTGTATACACATTTTAGTTCGTGATTTTGTTACGTTCAAACTGCTTTTTGTCTATTCAAATGTAGCATTATTTCTTCTTCATCTATTCATATCATTTATTTGCGTTTATAATCTAACCACTTGTTTAAACATTTTTATTGAAATTTTATTTTAAAATAAAATTATTATTTTTATTCTTAGAAACAAATTTTCATACAAACAAAAGCATTCATTAATTTTCAACAAATCATTGCAACTTTTCATTCATTTTCATTCTTTTATTTCTATATTTTCTTCAAAGAAATTTTATACTTCAATTTGATTTTTTCATAAATTTTAGTTTTTAAAGCTGAAATAATTTAATTATTGTAAGTCATTTTTTCATTTGATACAATGGAGCGTATAAACTAGTACATTCATGGGAGTTCAGTAATTTTACATGTTTGTAAGTTTAACTGATAGACGTAAGATTCATTTTTTACTAAAATATTCATGTAGCAAAGTAATAAATAAAATATAGATACGCTTTATTGAAAAACTCCTCTATAATAAAAGTATCAAAATTATAACTGACTATCAAGAAATACTCGACCAGAGTTTTGTAAATTTTAGATTAAACGATATAATTTTCAATTTTAATTAGAAATAAAAATGCTTCAGTTATATTTTAATTTTAGTATTTACCACAAATATACAAAAATTCTAAAATTAGATATGAGAATTTTACCAAAAATTTTTGAATTTGATATAGTTTGAGCTTCAATTACTAATTATGGTAATCAGCTATTGGTTGTTTTATTTTTTAAGTAACAAAAGTAATCTCCAAATTTTGCTAATTAATTTCAAAATTTGGCATTATAAGACAAATATTTGACTAAATTAAGAGTATTATTAGGCTAATTGTTAAACTTTTAATAGTGATCTTCACTATCCTTTCTATTTTATTTTATTCTCTTCTATTCTGTCGTAATATTGTTTGTGCAGTCCAAAAAATTATGCAGTCTTAAAAAAATTACCAAGTAAAATATGGGCGAGCAATTAGGCGTATATTATATATGCCATGTATTATTATTGTTATTGATTGTATAATTGATATCAAGTGAAATTGTTGTTAATGTTAAGAGATATTTACTGTAAATATTTTTGCTATTTTTTATAATAACATTTATTTTGATTAATAATCTACAGCATTTATGTAGTAGTACTACTAGTATCTATCTATGTATTCTCTTATCATCCCTTGCACCCATTCATCTGATCGAATCCATATTTGGTAGCATAGGGCAAAATAGGGTTGAGGAAGGGAAAATTTCACCGGGAACTATTCATCTTTCCTTCTTTTCTCATCTAAAGTCTTACTAGTTAAGTGTATTAGATTTACGAGTAGTGGCAATTGGAGTAAAGTTAAAAAAAATTTTGTCATCATATAGCTTAGAATTATATTTATTAAGATAATAACCACGTCTTAAATTAAAACAAAACAAAAATGCTTGTGAAATCTATAGGTAAGTAATATATTTTTAGGTTTATACAATTTCACGTATTGTACCACGATTACTTCTTGCTAAATTTTATTCTATAAATGATTAAAGAATTTTTCATTTAAAAAATGCTCAAAGAATACAATGACAAATTTAGATTATACCTATTTATATATTTGTTGTTTCAGGTATGTGCGAGCCAACACTGACCGGGTCTTTTGGCCTGGCTCCAACGCCACCACCACTTAATGAACAGGTTAATTACTTTTCATTTTATATTTTAGATAGTATTAAACATAAATTGTGCAAATTTAATAGAGGAATTTAAAATAGGCATTCTAAAATATTGGTCACTTCACAGTTTTGGATCTTGTAATGATAATTGACTTTAAATGATTCGTGCTATCATTTTCAATTAAGTATTAATCGAAATAGCATTATGTCTTGCATTATTAGTAATAATAATAATTGATAGTAGTGTTATTTAAATTAAAAAATGATTACTACTATTTTTTTTACTATTTTTAAGGAATTCGTTTTTATTTAAATTTGTTTTGACTAACAAATTAGAAAAATAACTTTTTAGTCATTATTTGCAGTTCTAGGAATAGCTACGTATTAGATAAGAATCAAAATAAACATTTGTTTGCACACTTTTTAATTTACGCATTCACGTATTTTAAGTTTACGCAATTAGCACTTCATCTTACAGTTGTAGTGATATCTCATTGTTCTAAACTTCGCTGCTGCAACTTTGGAAGGAATACACTTCTGATGCTATAAGTGAAAGAAAGGGAACTATACCAAATCACATTACATATTTTTGTCGTTATTTGCTCGAAATTTACTTTTAGTAATGTTTATTGCATTTTAAAAGAGTAAATTCTGCATACTTTACTCTTTTCAGGGATGCTATCGGTAACAATAGTAGTACTATTAAAGTTTATTATATTTTTACTACTCAAAACAATTGTATTATTATTGGCAGCAAAAGTAATCACTGCAAAAATAATACTAAAATTACATTTTAATAATGCGAAAATGTGGTAAAACATACAATTGTTACTGTACTATACACCGAGGTATAACTAGATGAAATGAGCCAAATTTAACTGTTTTGCGCTAATATTGAGTGCAGAGGGGAATTCAAATGATGTATCAGTTTCTGAAGCAAGCATATTACATGATAAGATAAAAATAATTTGCTTGAAAAGTCAATTTTTAAGTTTTCAGTCTTCTTAATCAAATAATTAATGTGTGTGTGTGTGTGTGTGTAAAAATAGTTAGTATGTTCTATTGAACTTAAATTTGCATTGATTGTATAGTTTTTAAAAAAATTTGATTGAATACAGTACTATTTTTCATGTCTAAAGTCATATAATATTGCATTTGTTATTAGGAAAAATTGGAAATTAAAAAGTCTATGCAAAATTTATTTTATCTCTGTGATTTTGTTTTCTTTCAAAAAAAATTCATGAAGAATAATTTTGTATTTAATTTTTTTGTAATATAGCATAAGTGGAGCTTGTACAATTTAGGCTTATTTTTGAAACAATTTTTTTTCGTAAGGATTTAGTATCAGTTTTTCATTTGTCTTTCTTCTGAGCAGCTGAAGCTTGTAGGAACAGCTTTCTGTTTTAAACTTGGAATCATTTATAAAGTTTGAAAAGGATATGTTATCAGTAAGATATGATAGCCATAATAGCAAATATGCAAGTAAGCACATCAAAGTATTGACTGTTAAAAAAAATTGTCATATATTTTTTCGAATTCAAAATGTAGCAATGTATTAGCATGAAGACGCTGTGATTGACATATTTTTTTAGAAAGAATTAGTTATATCTTAGAAAAGTTAGACTGATTAGTGATGAAAAGTGATGTAAGAATTAGATCGGAATAGTAATGTACACTTTAAATTAGCTTATTTTTGTGGATTAGATTCAGGTTAGATTAGATCAGAAATAATATCGTACAGTTGCTTTCGTTACAGTTTGCAATTTATGACATCTATGAGAATATTGTAACTATTTGAATTCTTCTATTTTTTTCTTCATATTACGGCATCTGAGATACTTGAGAAGAGTATTTTTTGTTCAGTTTTTTATTAAATCAAATGATAGGTGCAGTTATTCTATACTTTGAATGATTGCAGATTTTACAGGTAGTGAAGTGTCCGCTATGTTTGGAACCTTACCGTGAGCCAAAGGTTCTTGCTTGTTTTCATAGTTTCTGCAAATCATGTTTGGAACGTCAAATAGATGGAAATTGTGCAGAAAAAATAGTATGTCCACAGTGTCGTGTGGAAACACAATTATCTATACAACTTGGTATAAATAATTGTTAATTAAATCTTATTTTATTGTTAAATATTATTAGTATATTTATTAAATAGAATAATTTTATTTATTTTCTTGGTTTACTGCAATTTTTAAATACACATATATTTTTTATTATCTAAAATTTCAGTAGCTAATTTGAGAGTATTTACTTTAATATTAACAACAGAAATATGCAAAATGAAGTAATTTTTTAATTTTTTCAAAAATTACGAGTTATTAAAATAACGATAGAATGAACTGAACTGATTAATAGAGAAATAAGATTTTGTAGTTAATTAAGCGTAGCTTTAAAGGAAGACTTATCGTACGTAAGGTCTTAGCACATAGCTTGTTTGATGTCAACTGCGTTCAGATTTTGTACCTTTACTTAATTATTGGATGTTAAAGATAGTAAAAAAGAGACTTAAAAAATTGGCAATTATCGATCAGCACAATATATTAAATTACTTTCTTTAAAGGACAAAATAACGTTTTGTTTACGTAATTTAATGATTTGCCAATTTTTCAAAAAAAGTTCATGAAAATGACGAACTAAGCTATTGTTCAAGAAAGTAAGTTCAAGAAAGTAATTTAATATATTGTGCCAATTATCGATCAGCACAATATATTAAATTACTTTCTTTAAAGGACAAAATAACGTTTTGTTTACGTAATTTAATGATTTGGCGATGCACATTCAACATTTGAACTAAAAGTAAAAGACAAACATTTTGTCATCTTTTTACGTGAGAGAAGTGAGCTGTTTGTTTTACAAATACAACAGCATAGCATCGTGATGTCGTTCTTTTCATTGTATCAAAATGATTTTTGGCATCTTTCAGTAACACTTCACGAAATTGATAAATATTTATTCATTTTTAGGTAAATGGCATATTTTGTTAGAATAATTTTCGATTTTTTTTAGTATTACTTAATTAGCGTAAGTATTTGTGTATTTGCACTTAATTATGCAAATTTGTATAATTAAGTGTAACAGTTTTATTAATAAAGTAAAGAGTATAAGCAATCATAATTGTATAAATTATTTAGCAAATTTATTCAAAAAAAGTTCATGAAAATGACGAACTAAGCTATTGGAATGTTAAAATGCAATTATTATTCTCTTTATTAAAAGCTTTTTTTTCTTTGCAAAAAATGTTTTTTAATCAAAAATTTATTAAAGATTTAGGTTTAATGAAGAGAAATTTTTGAAGAATATCAGATTTGATTTGTAGAGTCATTAAAATTATGAGAACTGAATAAGAAAACTTGATATTTAAGAAATGAAACTTTTATAAATTTCAGTAGCATCAAAAATATTCATTACATATATATATATATATATATATATATATATA